AGCACCGGCGTTTCGTTTCTCATTACGGCAGCTGGGCCGCCAGGAGTGTATCCAACATAAAAATCCGCGATGGGGAGAGTGACATCGGCAAATCTGGTGGTGTTCAAGAAGGGGTCGAATCGGGAGTCAACATTCGACGTATTAACAATCAGTGTTGTCAAACTAGTCACTTGACGTTGACCAACAAGACCCGTAGAACCAACTAGGAACGTGTTATTGACCTTGAATCCACAAGGGTCTAAGGCTTCTCTGAAGCCTGTCGCACGATCCAGGTGTGTATTGTTCTCGCACTGATATTCGAGCATGGACGACACATCATGGCACTCGTGGCAGACACCAAGCGTTGAATAGGAGGGCCAGGTGCAGTTGCCGGTGGGACATGTGGCTGTGGATGACCTGATACCAGTCTCTGGAGAATTGAACGCGGTATCAATCACTGCGACCATGGTCGGATCTGAACGAGGGTCGGTTGCGAACTTGCGCAGTATAGGTAGATATCCGGGCACAAAACTCTTGCAGCCCAAGTTGTGCTCTGCTGGGTAGCGATCATTTTCTCCGGGTAGGCCACGATCTGCTGGAAGAACGGCTCAAAAGCAAGCGCAAGAACAGTGATCAGTGCACCAAGAGACACCAAATGTCTGCATCCAGATCAGCGATTTAAAAAACATGGTCTTGATTGGGGTATACTAACCTGCACCTTGTCTTGATAAGAAGCAGAGCCGCACCCCAAGGTCCACGACTAGCGGCGTCATAGACCTGAAAATCCCATAACGCTGCCTCTTTCTGAAACCAAATCCACTTCAACTGTCCAATGGCTTCTGAGACCGGTAGTATCAATGCTGCTTTAGAGACCGCAGCGAAGACGGCAACGTATGCGTTGAGCGTGATACCTGTCACCAAGTACTCTGGCTGCCGTTTGCCATCATAATACCAGAGCACACCTATGATAGCCGCCATACAGCCGAAGCTGACGACCCAGCTAAGTAGCTCCCACCACCACCAGTCAGTGACGATCCGGTCGTAGAATGTTGTTGACGCTCGAACGAGGGGCTGGTGTTTTGTGTCATTGTCTTGAGCTAGGGGAGCTGTGGGCGCGGAACGAAACATGTCTGTGAAATGGAAGAACGACAACTCTCCAGGAGCATGGATTGAAAAGCAAGAAGCATCATGTCCTCTTATTGCTATGGTGTATCGCTACTGTGCCGCATCTCAGGGTTACATGCAGGTAAGTCGGAAACTAGTAGGGCGCATAGTATCACTTCGCGCTTCACCTACTTGTAACGGGGATGTAATCCATCCGACAGTAAATTGATTGGCGGATGGCTGGCTTGAACTCTTGAAATCGCTGTCTGAAGCGCCGAGGTGGGTTATTGTTCTAGTAAGCGCCGGCCGCCAGGTCTATCCACAATAAAGCGCAACGGGAACCGCATGCTCTTGCATTCTTAGGGAAAGGGTCGTGCTTCTCTTTCTTGTTTTACGAGTTGATTATGACATGGATCATGTAGTGGTGTTCTTCTCAGATCATGAACCGACTGCCTTTGCAGAAGCCATTCGCTGAGCGACCAAGCTAAAGACAGCAATTGATGACATGAATATGGCAAGGTTATAAAACTGTTATCATGTTAGCCCACCAGATGACCGAACTGATACTGATAGAGAAAGCATACGGCCTTCCTCGAGTACGCGCTCTCCTCCGCCTCGCTGCGCGCTTCCACAAAGAGTCGACGTAGATTAGGTAAATTGGAAGGCTGCGATCCGAAGTCAGACTTCAGCGTCATACGATTCGTGTTGGTTGTTGCATTCGACTTACCATGCTGCTACGCCGATGATGAGAGTGGGAGCGTCGAAGCATTTCAGGGCTGGGCTAGATGCGATGCATGGCTGCGGGCCCGGGGCAGCGCACAGACCGCATCATCAAGGTGGCAGTCTGTCAATCGCGAAGCTCCACCAACATTAACCCAACCCGCACTTCACCTTCACCCACGCCCCTCGATCCAGAGACACCGACTTCTCGACACTCAAGATAAATCGCCAAAGAAGTTTGCGCTTCCTAATACCTCGGTCTTGTAGGGAGCAGGCTCCAGATTCTACGAGCCGGAGTCGGAGGGGTTTGGCTGAGCGATTAGCCTTCACGGTCCTACAAACATGGCTGTTAATAGGATAAGAGGCGCATTTGCGCCCCCGCGCAAAGGAGAGACGTTCGAATTGAGGGCGGGTCTGGTGTATGGATCCCCCCAAGCCAGTGTAACGATTCCCAGCTGACCATTGCATCAGATCTCAATATGCCTACGAACGGTGAGCGCCTGGAACTGCGAGGACTACCCTGGAGGCATACTAAGACTGTGGCAGGAAAGAAGCCATTCAGAAGACTATCATGTCCATGACGCTGGGCAAAGATGTCTCGGCCCTCTTCCCTGACGTTCTGAAGAACATTGCGACTGCCGACCTTGACCAGAAGAAGCTGGTATATCTATACCTCATGTAGGTCCAAGTTCTGGTTGCGAGGCAGGTGGGAATTGACAAAATACTTAGGAATTACGCAAAATCACACCCCGATCTCTGCATTCTCGCCGTAAACACTTTCGTACAAGACTCCGAAGACGCAAACCCGCTCATACGAGCATTGGCGATCCGAACCATGGGCTGCATCCGCGTCGATAAGATGACAGACTATATGGAGGAACCATTACGAAAAACACTCAGAGACGAGTCTCCGTACGTACGGAAAACAGCAGCACTTTGTGTCGCTAAGCTTTTCGACCTCGCCCCGTCCATGTGCATCGAAAACGGTTTTCTGGAGCAGCTGCAGGAACTGGTTGGCGACCCGAACCCCATGGTCGTCGCAAACTCGGTCACTGCACTGGTGGAGATTCAGGAGGCAGCACCGGAAACCAAGGCCCTGGTTATATCGTCACAACAGCTGAAGAAGATGCTTCTGGCGCTGAATGAGTGTACAGAGTGGGGTAGAGTCACTCTGCTCACCACTTTGGCAGACTACAAGCCGGCAGATGTCAAGGAGGCGGAGCACATTTGCGAGCGAGTCGTCCCACAGTTTCAGCACGTCAACCCGAGTGTCGTGCTGGCAGCTGTCAAGGTCGTCTTCCTGCACATGCGAAACATCTCTCCCGAGATGATGAAGTCGTATGCAAAGAAGATGGCTCCCCCACTAGGTATGCTGACGACGGAGGTTTACAGGGGTGTCGCTAACATGCTATAGTCACGCTCGTATCTTCCGCTCCTGAAGTACAGTACGTTGCGCTCCGAAACATCGACCTACTCCTCCAGAAGCAATCGGATATCCTCAGCAAAGAGATGCGCGTCTTCTTCTGCAAATACAACGACCCGCCATACCTGAAGATGCAGAAGTTGGAAATCATGGTGCGGATAGCGAACGACAAGAACGTCGACCAGCTACTGGCCGAGCTGAAGGAGTACGCGATGGAGGTGGACATGGATTTCGTGCGACGAGCCGTGAAGGCTATCGGGCAGGTCGCGATCAAGATCGAAAGCGCAAGCGAGAAGTGCGTCAACACACTGTTAGACCTCATCAACACCAAAGTCAACTACGTCGTGCAGGAAGCAATCGTCGTCATCAAGGACATTTTCCGCAAATACCCCGGTTACGAAGGCATAATACCGACACTCTGCCAGTGCATCGACGAGCTGGATGAGCCCAACGCGAGAGCCTCTTTGATCTGGATTGTTGGAGAGTACGCTGAGAAGATCAACAATGCCGGCGAGATCCTGTCAAATTTCGTTGACACATTTGCCGAGGAGTTCACTCAAGTATGTCTGCCCTCAAGATGTACCTACGGAAGCTAACAGTCATCAGACACAACTTCAAATACTCACAGCCGTCGTTAAGCTTTTCTTGAAGAAGCCTGATCAAGCACAAGGCTTGGTAACCAAGGTTCTACAGGCCGCCACCGCAGACAACGACAACCCAGATATCCGCGATCGAGCATACGTGTATTGGCGACTGCTTTCTAGTGATCCCCAGATCACCAAGGTACGTTAGTCTACTACGCTGCGCAACATGACATTAACTTTGAATAGGATATTGTGCTCTCCGACAAACCCCCGATCACATCCACAATACGGTCACTGCCTCCTCAACTACTAGAGACGCTACTCACAGAACTATCAACTCTGGCTTCAGTCTACCACAAGCCACCAGAGGCCTTCCTTGGACAGGGCAGATTTGGTGCAGAGGCCATGCAACGGGCTGCCATTGAAGAGCAACAGGAAGAAGCAAGAGAAAACCCAATTGCGGCAGCAGCAGCTGCTGCTGCCGTCAGCGGACAAGCGCCTTCAAACGTGGAGAACCTTTTGGATATCGATTTCGACGGCTCCGCGCCTGCTTCAATGCAGAAAACACCCACACATGGCTCATCAGGTCTCGAAGGTCTCGCTGGCACCCCGCAACGCGTCGCATCTCCAGCCACAAACGCGCCTGCTCCACAACAATCGAACATGGATGACTTGCTAGGCTTGTTTGGGGACGGAGGCGGCGCCGCACCGCCAGCCCAGGCCGCACAGATGAGCAACGACGACATTATGAATGGATTTGCGAGCATGAGCATGGACACCAACCAACCGCCGCCACCGGCACAGCAACTAGGCGGCGAGCAGAGCAAGAAGAGCAACCAGGATTTGCTCGACTTATTTTAGATAGACGGTCTTGAGGCCGTTGCTCCGGTTTGGGTGTTTGTATGTTAGCGAAAACGTATATCTAGTGAGCATCTACTGGCGCTGGAATAGTATGCCCTGATACGATCACATGTGCGCAAATCTAGAGATACTGGTACCAAGCACCAAGATGCTTGCTGTTACTCGTGGTGAGCATATATTCGAGTCACTACCATACCCCACCAAACGATTTATGCCCTCTCCTCTCTGTAGCATCACGGGTTTGACATGACAGCTTTGCTTCTCCAAGGCATACAGCCGGTGCGGCATATACAGTATACAGGCTAACATAATAGTGAGATTCTCTTCACTCATAGTCTAGCCTTGACTACCACACCCAAAGGCACATCATCCTTACTCCTCTCCTTGAGCACTCGTCTCAATATCTTCCCACTCGCACTCTTCGGCACCTCATCAATGAATACCACGCCCCCTCTTAGCCTCTTATGATTCGCAACCTTCTTATCCATCCACTGCACAATAGCCTTCGCTTCTGCCTCCCCAGCACCAGCCTTCGAAGCAACGATATACGCCCTCGGCACCTCAGTATGCTGCTCCTCGTCATTCACCCCAATAACCGCCGCATCATCGATGAGTTCGCTCTCCATGAGCTTCCCCTCCAACTCCGCAGGCGGGACCTGAAAACCCTTGTACTTGATCAATTCCTTGACGCGGTCCGTGATGTAAAAGTTGTGTTGTTCGTCCTGGAAGCCAATGTCGCCTGTTTTGAAGAAGCCATCGGGCGTTATGGCGTCGGCGGTCGCTGACTCGTTCTTCCAGTATCCTTTGAAGATGTTGGGGCCGCTGAGCCAGAGCTCGCCGGCTTCGCCGGGGCCGAGTTCGGCGCCGGAGGCGGATATGTATTTTGCGGTCATGTTGGGGAACATTTTTCCGACGCTGCCGACGGAGGTGTACCATTCGTTCCATGGCTGGAGGGGGGTGTTAGCATATCTCGCTCAGTATCGTGGAGAAGGGAACGTACCTGAGTGTGTGTCATGGGACTTGTTTCGCTGAGCCCGTATGCTTGGTTGATCTTGAGGTTCAGTCGTTTATGCACAGTATCGACTAGCTCTTTGGTGAGAGGAGCCGCGCCGCTGGTGATCATCTTGACTGACGACAGGTCGTACCTGTCCACCATCTTATCTCTTGACAAGCGTACAATGACTGGAGGTGCGACGTATATGAAGGTAATCTTGTGTTCCTGTATGGTCCGCAGAAAGGTTTCCATGTCGAAAGCCGGCATTACCACGAGCTCAATACCGCGATGAAGTGTCTGATGTACCAGACCAGTAAGACCGTAGATGTGGAAGAATGGCAGGACTCCCAAGAACTTGTCGTTTGCGGATGAGTACCAGTTTCCCACTGCACCCTGGCAAAGAAGTAGATCGGCGACGATGTTGCGATGGCTGAGCATCACGCCTTTCGGCAATCCTGTGGTTCCAGAACTATACGCCAGGAACGACAGGTCTTCAGGATCCGCCCGTCTCCTGCGATACCGTAATGCGCCTGATGTCTTCCTGATGCTAGTCCAGTGCTTGCATCGATGTGTCTCGTCTTTCTCGGCACCCAGTAAGATCACCCTATCACTTGCGATTCCAACCTTCTCCGCAGCTTTTAACGCGGTGTCTAGGAATGCCTTTGTCGTGACAAGTGCTTTAGCCCCCGAATTCTCAAGCTGGTAAGCTAGCTCATCTTTTGAATACCCTGGATTCGCGGGCGTCACAATGCCACCCGCAAAGAATGTGCCGTAGATGACCGGTGGTACGTCGATGTCGTTTGGCGCATATAGAGCGAGCACGTCATTCTTTTGCCAGTCCCAGAGATTCCAGAGTCCTTCGCCGAATAATGTCGCGTTGCTTTTTACATCGTCGAATGTGTACTTTCGACCAGAGTTGATAGCGCGGTATATGACTTTATCGTCGGGGAAGTCGCGGTCTTTGCGATCGAACATTAGACCCCAGAGGTCAACGGCCGGAATGTCCACATCGGGAAACGGTGAGTTGGTAGGCATATTGACTTCGATAGCAGAAACGCTGTGGTCACGAGACCTCCAAGCAATGTATTCTTGGAACTGCTGTTATATTGGATACGTAAGGATGCAGAGTAAACATGCAGTTGATCAATGGGCGAACTTGAGATGCATCGAGATCTCAATCTGTGGGGAACCTCGGCTTTTGTCCTGATGACGTCGCCCACCCGTTGGCCCTATTACCGAATCGCATTGTGGCATTTTTAATGCGTTTGCGGGAAGTTTCCCATTCAATGCGTGCCAGAGCTGTAAGCGTACTTTAAGTATGCACATCCAAATCTGGAATAGGTTGATGAGCTTGGCCAGCTGCTGTCGCTCCGCGGAGAGGTGGAGGAAAAGGCCTTCGCACCTAACCACGACGAGCAAGTAGATTGTCTGGGGGCGATTGATTGCTCGAGCTGAGAAGCAGACAATGCAGGCTGACAAACATCTTGTTTCCAAAGTGGCAGCAAGCAGGCCTTTTGCACGTTAATTGACCAGCTTACGTGTCTTTCGGAGTACACGTATATACCTCAACGGAAACCGGGGTGCAATTGATCAAAGTCCAGGCCTGCACTGTGCAACCAGCGATGATGTACAGACCGGGAGAACCGGTCATACAAGGACTGGTAGAGAGTGCATGTTGGTGTTACGATTTGGGCCAAATCGATGATGAGATCTGACGATGTAACAGTGCACACGGCTAGGGGTCCAGGCCTGTGGTGGCCTAATTGTGCTTACTGGCAGCCGTACCACCGGCTAACTTTGATCGGCTCGCGATTGAATCGAGGAGGTGATGTGGATTTCCGGAGCGTTTGAACAGCGAAGCCACGCGGAGTAAATAGTGGAATGGAAGACAGAAGCCGCGGCTAAGGAACCCGCTCCCGCAGGAGCGCACGGCCTCCGAGATGGTGGGGGAAGGCACGACCAGCGACCGAACGACTCCACAGACCCACACACAGCCCTCCATCACAATCAATCCACCCATCAAGGTGTTTGCTTGCATGACATCTGCCGCGCTTTTCCTTGCCCACGAAACCGAAAAAACCCAGACTCATCAGGTGGGATAGCGTGACATCGACCACAGCTGGCAGTTCACGACAGGTTCAGCTATATCCCAGGCTTACCGACGCGCTCCCGATCGGTCTTGCAACCTCAACCTCCGTCGACCAACCCAGCCGGGCGGGACGTCCCTCAGGCCTTCGGTGGGCGCCTCTGCAACGCGATTGGCTGCGTGGGTGCTGTGCCGTGGGGAGGCTTGCACTGTCGAGGACCCATACAGCGTCATCATTGAGGCGTGGACGGAAGAAGGGCAATTTCTCTGCAGCGTGATATCTGCACCACTTGGCCCTCGAGCTGGCAGGGAAGCCGGCCTTTTAGCAAGTGTCACCGGTAGCTACTTCTAATACACAGGATGGGTAAGTGGGCCCCTCTTATATACGCAGCCGTAACTTCCCCTCCCTGGCTTCCCAAAGCTTTTGCCATCCTCCGCGCCATCACGGTTCTGCTTTCTCTCACGACCCGACACGTTGCCTGCTGACCTCTCCCTACCAGACTCTGCAGGAGATAACTATCGTCCAAGCGACCGAGTAAGTGCTCATGTTTCTTCTTTCTGTTTCCGCCTCCAGGCGCAGGTCAGGTGAACGGCGAGGCTGTTGCAGTGCTGGATGGGCCTCTGTAAGCGTGAGCGATGGTGAGGGGACCGGTGTTAGCTACCCATGAGCCCCTCCAAGGCAACCAACACCCTTCATTTCTTCGCTCATTGCTCACGCCTGGGTGGTGGTCCGTCACGTGACTGTCGCTGCCGGCAACTGCCGCCCGGGCGGATTGTCGTTGCCCAAGCTCCGAGCTGCTTGCCCTCACCCGCTCGCGCAACCTCTCCTCAACCCCATCACCCACGCGAGCCCGCACCTGCTCGCCATCGCCGAACCTCCCAGAACCTCTTCGTCGCCTCGACACATTGCGTGTACTTTGCAATCATGTCGTACGAAACTGACAACTATGACCAGCGCGACCGCTCTCCCCGTCGACGATCTCGCTCACCGCGACGCTCCAGACGCTCCTACTCGCCCCGTAGCCGCTCACGCAGTCGCGAGGACTACCGCCGCACTGAACGCCGCTCGCGCTCCCCCCAAAGTGGTGCGCAAGGTGCAGGAGGCTACCAATCGTACGGTGCTGGCCGAGGAGCTTCATCGCGACCTGTCGAGAACAAGGGTGAAATGATGCAGAGTATTAGGGATTCTTCGCAACAAGATCGCCGTGTCTACGTCGGCAACCTGTCCTACGATGTCAAGTGGCACCACCTGAAGGACTTTATGCGCCAAGGTACGGCATGCGCTGCGCCGCGTCAAGAGCTGGGCTAATGCGGAAACAGCTGGCGAGGTCCTCTTCGCAGACGTCTTGCTGCTGCCGAACGGAATGTCAAAGGTAAAGGATGATGGCTTGTCTTGATCGTGAGAAGGATGGAGGTTGACTGGCTTTTGCTTGGGTGTAGGGCTGTGGCATCGTGGAATATGCCACTCGGGAGCAGGCGCAGAACGCTGTTGCATCGCTCAGCAACCAGAACCTCATGGGCCGACTCGTATACGTTCGCGAAGACCGAGAGGCCGAGCCTCGATTCAGCGCCCCCGGCGGCGGACGCGGTGACTTTGGCGGCGGAATGCCTCGCGGCGGCGGCTTTGGAGGTGGCTTCGGCGGCAACCCTGCTGCCGGAGGTGGTGCAGGACGACAGGTCTATGTCGCCAACGTTCGTACCCTTTTCTCTTCTTTGCTTACCTCGATAGCGTGTACTGACCCAGTTCTAGCTTCCTTACAACGTCGGTTGGCAGGACCTGAAGGACCTCTTCCGCCAGGCTGCTAACAACGGCCAAGTCCTCCGCGCTGACGTCCACATCGCCCCCGATGGCCGTCCCAAGGGCTCCGGTGTTGTTGCTTTCGAGACTCCCGAGGATGCTCGCAACGCCATTACCCAATTCAACGGCTACGATTGGCAAGGTCGCAACCTAGAGGTCCGTGAAGACCGCTTCGCTGGCGCTCCTGGTGGCTTTGGTGGTCGCGGTGGTGGATTCGGCGGACGCGGTGCCTTTGGCGGAGGCTTTGGCGGCCGTGGAGGCTTCGGTGGCCGTGGCGGATTTGGTGGTGGCTTTGGAGGCCGTGGAGGCTACGCTGGTGGAGGTGGCTTCGGCGGTCCCCCTGGTGGCCCTGCTTTCGACCCCAACGCTGCTCCTGCCGCACCCAACCCATTCACAGACTACGCTACTGCAGGCGGAGAGCCCAGCAACACCATCTACGTTCGCAACCTCCCCTGGTCGACTAGCAACGAGGATCTTGTCGAGCTCTTCACCACGATTGGCAAGGTCGAGCGTGCCGAGATTCAGTATGAGCCCAACGGTCGCTCTCGCGGAACCGGTGTCGTCGAGTTCGCTCAGGCTGGAGATGCCGAGACCTCGATCGGTAAGTTTGTTCATACACCATGATTTCCATCACTAACAAGTCGTAGCCAAGTTCACTGGTTACCAGTACGGTGGCAGGCCATTGGGTCTCGCCTACGTCAAGTACACCAACATGGGCAACGGTGGCGATGCCATGGAGGGTACCGAGAACACTGGTGGTTTGACCCAGGATCAGATCATGTAAAGTGATCCTTGCTTTGCGGTATTTCTTCGACGCGCAAGCATCAGATGCTGATGCATACGGGTTCCCATCTGCTCTGGTTATGAGCATTGTCATGTTTGGAACACCTTTTTCTCTCTCATTTCACATATATACACATGACGGAGCTTTGGAGAGATTATGTTACGGGTCTTGATCACGGGCATGTCTGTAGTGGACCAAAATTTCCTTGTCGACAAAAGGGCTAGCTTTCGAAATGTAATGAGGAGATCGAATAGTAACCTAGCGGTTTCAAGCTCTTCTTTGTCATGGTCTATACGTTTTCGTGATGATTGATATGATGTGTTATTGCTGCAGCAATTTCATCATCCACTCGTAGACAGCCCATTGTACGGCGTTCACCACGAATGCCCGTATGCTACATATGCCCAAGCCACGGAAGAAGACGCCCGCACCTTCTGTCTTGTACGCATGCCTGGCAACCTCGATAGCGCTCAATCGTGCTCTGGGTGTCTCTGACCCTAGCAGCGCACTTCCCTCCCCATCCCGCATCGGCGCATGCAGTATCTGCGTCTGCACCCTCGTCTTGATAACATCCAGCGGGAATA